ACGTAGCCGTCCAGGCCCCAGGGGTCGCTGTCAAACTTGCTGACAAACACGTCTGCGGGCCCTTTGGTCTGAAAGGCCCTCAGCAGTAAGTGGGCCTCCTCCTTCTTGTAGACGCCTGGAGAGAGCACAGAGGCGCGTGTCTCGGGGCGCACACGGGCCAGAGGTTCAGGCAGGCGACCCCGGAGGGGAACACGGTTCAGCGGTGACAAATCACAGAGGAGGGAAATTGTGATTTTAAAATAAGTTGTTATTGATTTCAGAGAGAGAGGAAGGGAGGAGAGAGGTGAGAGAAACAATGATGGGAAAGAGAAACATCGATGGGCTGCCTCCTGCGCGCCCCCCTACGGGGGATCGAGCCCGCAACCTGGGCGTGTGCCCCGACTGGGAATCGAGGTCCCGGGGCCACGCTCAGTCCACTGAGTCACACCAGCCCAGTTATCTTTTTAATTTTAGCTTCACCCCCCCTTTTATTCCCCTTAGAATCACTTCTGATTAAAGTCTTGTCTGTCTTGAATGGGTAGAGTCCACTTCCCTTTGGTGAATGACAACAGCATGTGTATCTCACAGGAAGAATAACAGGTATATGCTTTCAACTATGTTACTTTTTGAAATCAAGCATTTTAACATTTATACTGTGCTCACTTCTGAGGACAGGGGTATAACCATAACCCCACACCAGCCACACAGAAAGCGGCATTTCCCCGACTGAGATGAACTGAATGGCACCACAAACACAAATCTCACATCCTTGACTGAACATGCTATGTGCGTGATCTTGGGCGAATTCATCGACTTTTCTGTACTGGTTTGTGATCCTTTTGTAAAAATATATTTGTATTGATTTCAGAGAGAATGGAACGAAGGGAGGGAGAGATAGAAACATCCATGATGAGAGAGAATCATTGATCGGCTGCCTCCTGCACGCCCTCCACTGGGGATGGAGCCCGCAACCGGGCATGTGCCTTGACCGGGAATGGAACCCTGACTTCCCAGTTCGTGGGTTGATCTCAACCTCTGAGCCACGCCGGAGGGACTGGCTTGTGACCTTTAAGTTACCCGGCAGGTCCCGGAGCTGACCCGAGGCAGCACACGGAGCCGGCGCTGCTCTGTGAGGGGTCGGGGCTGACGCTCATGCCCGCGGTCCATCTGTCAGTCACCCTCGGCCACCTACCTGTCAGCTTCAGCTCCACCTGCGAGGCTGCGGCGAAGGTGGCATTCACCCGGCTGCGGGTGGCGTTGAAGCTGTCCACCGTCAGCGTGGCCGGCTGCCTCTTCCCCAGGTACTCGTAGTGCCCCTTCCACACGGAGCCCACGAAGAACACGTCGGAAGGAACTGCGGGCGGGAGACACGGGGTGTGAGTGGCTCAGAGCGGTCAGCGTGGGTGTGACGGCCGGGCAGGTGGCGTGCTCAGGGCGACGCACAGACAGGGACGAGGGTGAGGACGGTGACCCCAGGGCCCCGCCCCGCG